CTTCTCCAAATAATTTTCAAGCTAAACAGAAAAGATAGCTGAATAGACCACACCAAGGCTCCTGTAAACGATCCGTCAATAACACCCGCTTATAAAAGCAGCAGTACTAAGACAGGGAAAGACCTCTGCAAAAGTTATACCCCACCTCTTTTGCTCGAGTCCTTGAAAGAAAGCATCTGTATTGTGGCTCTCTATCATAATTACTGTCATTATACTGTCTGTATATCACATTAAACGATTTGCTTCCAAGAACAGCATGATATTACATTGATACATTCTATAAAGAGGCACTTGCACATATATAATAATGGGTGTGAGTCAAATGCTTGGCTTACAGCCTGTGAACATCACCTCCCCCACCAATGCAAATTGCAGCAGGGTTTATTTAGGCATCTTTCCACAGATAGTACGGAGAAGTACACACTGCAAAAGAAATATTTCAGCTGAAGAATTGCGCGTATGCACAGATGCTCAAAGGTGTGTGAGCAATCGGACTACAAGGGCAGCGATCTGCAGAACGGAAAGGGGTTCTTCGTTTCCATCAATAACACAAGACGCAAGCGGCAACTACAGAAATTGTGCTCAAAGAAAAGCACAACAATCCAATAATTCTGCTCCTTAACACGATTACTAGAGGACTGAAAAGATAACACTGGGTCGCATTAGCGACGTTTATTAGGGTTCGCTTTCAGTAGAATTGCTTCCCTGCCTGATAAAAGAAACAAACAGGATGTCCCTTGGAAGAGACCTTTCAAACCAGAGCTTCCTGCGTCTATTATCACACTCCTCCCCTGAAATATTCAGCGGCTAGCCAAGAAAGCAGCACGGCGGCTCCCAGCAAGCGCGTGCTCCCAGCCCCCACTGGGCCCATGCCAGAACAAGACTATAGCTGCTTGTCCTCACCACTGCTTCACTGGTCCTATTCCCTAGTAACTGCACGTGCGCCGACAGCAGGGTTTCAACCGACGGGGCTCCGCTGCTGGCGGCTGCTGCTCTAGCCCTCAGCACAAGAGCACCCATGAACGAAAGCCCCCTTCTCCAGCCCTTGCGTAAGGGAGACCCGGAAGCGACTCTGCCGAGACAGATGCTGCGATGACACTGTACCCACCACCCCGGAGCCTCCAGGTACTGAGCAACCAGCAACGTCCTGTTCTTCTCAGAAATTGCAAAGGCATGATCCTATTTGTCGGCTACAGATTTTCCCTCCTTTTTCTTGGACCTTGGGGATATTAAGCTGCATCTCAGTGAAATTACACACGCAGGAAAAAGACCATCACCACAGATTCTGGCCCCGCTGCATTTTCAGAGAATGGGAGCTCAGTTCCTACCAGCAGGCACCTGCTGATGATCTGACTCTTAACGAGAGCGTGCTCTTAATTTCAACACTGCATACAAAAGCATGCAGAAATTTCATTTTCCTAACCCACACCGCTGCTTAGCTGCACTGCTGTTTAACAACTGTCAGGCTTTGAGTCAGGGTGGCTGCACTTCAAGAGAAAGTAAAACAACACTTAACTAGCGCACAGATTTGCAATCTTTCTGTAAATCCAAGACATTATTGCTGATACCTTGGACAACGGAAAAGATGCTGTAATACAAGTTATTGTGTCTGTCCTTGACAAAACTGTGTTAAGAATCCTGAAAACTCCCAGAAATACTGGGAATGAGCAGAAATCACTACGTGGAGTAACAAGGGTCACTTACTGGTCGTCTTAGCTTAGCCGCGACTGTGAAACTTGAGGTTTCATGAATATGAAATAGAAGATGAAATTGTAAAATTCTTGTGCCTTTTTTTTTTTTTTTTGAATACAGGGCATTCAAAACTTAGATAGCTGGGTGCTGTGTGCAATTACCCAATTGCATATGGCATGCCAGGGTTATTGAAAACTGCTTCTGTGCAATAAATAAACAAACACACACACTGGAAGCTGATAAAAATTTTAATGCGTTTTACCTGTTTGTAGTAGAGAAATGTCCGGCTTCTCATCACAGTCAGTTGCCTCTGCTGATTACAAATATAAACAAGAAATTTCATTACTTTTACTGAATACAGGAATGCGATTAAAAAGCTACATATTGTAGAGTGATTTTGCATTTTCTATCTACTTTCCTCAGCTGCAAATATGCTAGTGCTCAGTTAAAAAGTCACTACTTGGAGGAAGAGGCCATACAATAAAAACGCAAGCTTAGAAGAGGGAGTTTTGTATTAATAAGCAGTTGTGCCCTTAATGGGCTGGACTAATACCTGCTCCCTTTAAGGTTTCAGGCCATCCGGCTGATAAAAGGAGCTGGGATCATTTTACAAAATTAAACAGGAAAAGTCCCATTTGTTAAGCCAGCTTCGGTGGTCCTTGGAGGAAGAGCCTCAAAGGTTGGTATTCCAAACTCCAAAAGCTGCCAGCACCAAACGCCGAAGCAGAAATTGCAAATACTCCCATTTCTGACTCCTGCACCCAAACTTCCTGAGACCACAGGAGAGCTCATTCTGCAAGGGACAGACCTACACGGGCAGAATGTGTTCAAAGATGCAGGTGGGTATCCACCATAATTACAAAAGCACATCATAACTGCTCAGATACACAGGCAATTACAGACTGTTTATACACACATGCTTTCAACCCACAGCTTATGCAAGCTTATTTGACTTAATTTAGCCCACGGTGAAGGAAGGTTAAAAGCCTAATTTGTTCATCTCATATTTGCCACAGGCCAACGTAATTTGGCTCAGCTGATGTGCAGTAACTTGTTAGACCGTAGGACCCTGGAGCGTGCGTTAGAACCCCAACTAAGTTACAGACATCTAGCAGAAATTTGGTGCCTAACCCACACATGCCCCGTTCAAAATCCTATTACCTGGGGGTTTTGGCACCTCAGCATGGTAGTTAAGACCTTTAAAACACAATGAGATCTTTGAGAGTACTTAAGCAAATTAGGTGCGGTCATAAAGGAACAGGCAGATATGTCCATTACATTGTACATGTTCAATGTGGTGGATATACACCTACTCACAAATACATACATCCACTCATTGCACAATACCCATAGACATCAAATCTGACCAAGGCTATACATAAACTGAACAACTCAGTTAAGCTCACACTTGAAATTAAACTAACTGTCCTGATCATCTTCAGCACAGCCCTATAAAGAAGGATGTTGAGTTGTTGCCTTTATGAGGATATCACAAGAAAAACTAATCCAACTGCTCATCTGTATCAGAGTTCCCTGCTTCCAGCTACTCCTGGCTATTTGTCCTTGGACCAAGACGTTGCTTTCTCTCTTACTTCCATTTATGCCAGCTTAATTTTTAGCTGCATGCTCTACTTAGTTCTGTGAAATTCGTTGGATTAAAAACACACACACACACACACACACACACGCACACACACAACCAACCCCTAGTACAAAACAGCCCTCCTCCCATAGAAGGTTTGAAGGGGGAGCACCGACAGGCACATGCCATGGAACTGCAAGTTAGTCTGAAATGTGCCTTGAACCAATACCCTTTTCCCACTTCCTACAATAATTTGTTTCTGAGCAGAAACAAATTAGGTACTCAGTACAGCTTACTGCAAAAATCTTTTTTGAAAAGAACGGGTGCCTCAATAAATGGGAAGAGATTACATGATTCTCTA